ATATATATATATATATATATATATATATATATATATATCACGATATATATTTCGCGTGACGATGAAATATTAAGATAGCGCGAGTCGACTGAAAACGAGTCGGCCGATTAAATCAGTCACCGCAAAAGCAATGGGCTTATATATACTATGTAACAACATGGGTGCACACGGGTCATGTACACCGAGATCAGTAATAAACACGTCGCGCGTATAGCCAAAACCTCGTACGTCTGACTGCGCCTACGTTGCGAGCATGAAAGCTGCAAGCTGCCTTAGCTCGATCATTAAGATGAATTGCCTCGTTGATTAATCGCGCGCCGTTTGCCGTTGACACGCCTCTCCCCCCTCCCCGTAACCAACACGATCCCGCTTTCTGCCCTCTTTACCGCCGCAATTTGTCAATTTACAATTATTGTCTGCGCATTCGACCGTGCCTTCACGCGGCTGCGCAACAACACCGGCCACCGATATATATACGCGTCGTTCGAGAGATAAAAAAGAGCTTGGGTTTTTTAATTCACAAGATATACGTGGGAAGATAACGGAGAAGGACACAAATTGAATTATCTTTCACGTTTTCGTCGAAGAGAAGATACCTCGATAAATAAATACTTGAACGATTATCGTGTTTGTACAAATTGTAAATAATTGCGAACAATCATGTTGGAAGAATTAAATTGAAGCGCACCTATTTCGAGCGAAATCTTCCGACGATTGTTTCATCACAATTAGGATACGACAGATAATTATATTACGCTCTATAAATTATAGAAAATTAACACGCGATGGTGTTAAAGTTATTAAAGTTATTAACGCTGTATTCATCTCCGATATTACGGCGGTAAGTTTTCCAGATAAACGGTAATTTGATGTATAATGTAATCACGAAAATAAATAGTAGTAATAATCGAAAACGCTGACGAGGATATTTCGTTCGGTGTATTTATACATTTTACATTTGAATTCCCGATCGTATTTATTCTAATTACAAACCCGATTCAGCAAATGTAATAATCGTAATATAATTGCAAACTTGCAAATATTTATTTTCCCCTTGATTACAAAATATTCACCATCGACCAATAAAAAAGTAGAAGATTTTATTGAAGTTAATTTCCATGTAATACTTGTATAATATAATTCAAATATCCGCGATAATATTTCTTTTTTCTTTCTTCTAACCTTCTGTTTTAAAAATCACTCTCACTTTTCGACCATTTATCATATTTTGCAGATAGCATCGAATCGATAAACGAGATATCATCAAACGAAACGATAATTTTTTATTCGCGATGCACGAACGTCACGAATACCGCGAATATCGCGAATACAAGCTCCTCGTCTGCCTCTTCCTCCCCTAAAAAAAAAAAAAAAAAAAAAAAAAAAAAAAAAAAAAAAAAAAACAAAAAAAAATAGAACAAAAAAATGGATGATATCGATATCTCGTTAATTAACGCGTATTCGGCCACTATCCGCGACACGGGAGAATAACAAGGGTGGAATAGCTTTATCGGATCGAAGTCTCGACAAATAATTAGCGCGAGACTAATTGAATCGATTATGCATTCCGTTAAACGGAATATCGATTTTGGTGTTGGGCCACTTTTGTTCGTAACGGGACGAATTTTCCAGCAGAAGTTGTGCGCTGTTCAAACGAGGGATTTACCATGTTTCCTAACACGATCTAAAATTTGCAAATTCATCCGAGTCGAGTTTCCGGTTACGAGGGAGAGTCGACAAATGAACTTTATCCGATGACGGCTGACTAATTTCTCTACCATTCTCTGATAATTCACTCGCCAAGGCGACGAGTGTCGATCAATTGTCATTTAGGATTTACGGCGCGAACAATGAAAAGGACAACGGTATAATCATTGATTATCTCGAGAAGCGGAAAATTTATTCGAGATTTTATTTTTTCCTTTATCTTCGTTTATCGATTTTATTTTATCTTCCTCGACGCGACGTTTTGACTATGTTAAATATTACGCGAAGATTTCAGCACAATCTCGTTTAGAATCACGTGACGTATCTTTCCGCTCCATGTTTCTTCCGTCCCTTTCTTCGACCATGTCTCTTTTTTTTCGGCACCCATAAAGAACAATTTCGCAGATGGAACGACACACTTTCACCGCGAAAGATAATGTCGCTAGAAAACCCGTTTGATAAGATGAAAAGCGGAGAGAGAGAGAGAAAGAGAAAAGAAGTCTTTTCTCGAGGAAGTCGAATACGCTTTGAACGATCTTCAGAAGAGATCTTCGCTAGATCTAGACTAAAATTTCTAGATATAGAATATTAAATTCACCGAAACTTTGAAAATTAATATCTTTCTAAAAATGATTATGATCGAGTTAAATTTCGAATCTTTCTCTTGATAAGAGGTTTTTTTTTACTTTCGTACGATCATTTCCTCCATTTTCGAGATATTTGTCGTTTAAAGAGAAGCATACTTTCCGTCAACTTCATCCTTGTCACGTCAATAATTTTTCTTATTGCAGCGCTTGCAGCCATTTTGCGAATCAACGGATGCTGCGTTTGCTTTTTTTTCTTCCTTTTTCTTTTTTCTTCTATTATTACGCGTTTTCGGTAAAAATTATACAAAGAATAATCACGAGAATTTTCAATTTTCCCTTCCTAATTAACATTACTGTAATTAGCATATTATTTCTAGAAGAGCAGATCGACTTATCGAACAAAGTGAATATAAAACAAAGTACGTTTTCAAAAAAAGTTTCCTCTTTAATTATTATCATTCTTATTATTATTATTATCATTGAATTGCCATTATTATTGCTTTTTTATCATATAATAATTCTTTATCATATAAAGAATGGATATATAATAAAGATATAATATGGATAAGATTGATAATGTCTTTTATTTTAATAAATTTTTTTCATAAATTTATATTATAAAAATATTAGATTCTAACAAAAGATAAATATCTCTTACTACTTTTCTACACTTTGATCGATTAATTTTGTTTCGGCATTTCGCTCTATTAAATTATAATAATACAATCACGCTGAAAATTCGAGATACGTTTCCAGATCTAGATAGCTCAAAGACGAGCAGCTCATTTCCGGAAGTCGAAGTATGCCCGACAAAAGCCTTTTCACCTTTTCCGCGGTACACCAGCTTCCGTTTTCCGTTAACCATTTTGCAAATCTCTGAAATGTCTCTCGTTTCAAGTATTCGAGACACGCGTCTCGTGTCGCGAAATTGTTTCTTACCCGACCGGTTCAAACGGGAAACGGGTTGAGAATTGTTTTCGCTTAAAAGAGGAAAAGTGAAATCCGCTCCGCTCTACACCGTGCGTCGTCGTTGCTCCGCGACAATTTCCACCTCGAGGGATTCAATCGTAGCTTTATTTTAATTTGCATGCGAACGTCTCGCTGCCAGTGTTTATATGTAAATCGTGCCTCATCTTATCGCCATCGAGGCGCGGATCCCACGCTTTAAACCACGCTTGATGCCTCCTTTTACGGGGGTAAACGACGCATGAGGAAAAACGACGCCTGTTTACGCTGTTCAATGGCCTTCTTCTTCTTCTTCTTTTCTTTTCCTTTTTCTTTTTTTTTGTTCCTTTATCGAGAATCTCGAGATCTACGTCGCGAATTTAAAACATGGAATTTCTTCATTCTCAACTAATTTAACGGAGGATATATTTTGTCTCGAGATGAGAAAAGAAACGAAATATCTTTTTGATAGAAACAAGGGGAAAGAACGATTCTTTTAAACGATCCGTTTTTTATCCGTTTTGTACCGATAATTGTCGACATGATCAAGAATGAGAGTCGGCTCCGAGGCGCAAAGGCGTTTGCAATTTTCGCCCAAGTTCGGGCTTCGTACATTTTTCTATTTTCGGCCAACGTCACGCCAACGTTTACGGTAATGGAACGAGAGGCAAGCGGAAATTGCTTAGGTGAAAGAAACGAATGTAGAGTTTTCGAAAGAAAGTTCAAATTACAAGGGGAAGAAAAGAAAAAAGGGGGGGGAGGGAGAGGAGAAAACCGGAAGTATCGCCCAGGTTGAACAAATTAAGTTGGCGGTCAAAAACAATCTCCAAACTTAATATCCTAGCGCGTTTTTAAACTTTCCTTCCTCGATTTCTTTCTTCCTCGAACAACGAACGTGATCTAAAAAAAATAGGAAGAAAAAAAAAATGAAAATGAGATTCTTCCGTTTAGAACGAAAGAAAGAAAAAAGAAAACCTTTAAAAATCGGATCGTGCGAAGAAATTTCGTTTTTTCTTTCCATTCACGAATCAACGAACGACCATTCGACCTAATAGGATGCATTTTTAAAAAATCCGCTCTAAACGAGAAATTACTTTCGAAGGACAATCGCCCGAAGAGTTTTGCTTTCGAGTGCGTGCATACATCCTTGCATACACAAGTGCGTATCCGTTAACAATTTCCCAATCTCCACGGATCCACGGAGAGGTCATAGTTAAATCATAATTGAAGACCGAGATGCCAAGATCAAAGGGTCAAGAGCGAGGATTTGATGAAGGGCCCGTGTATCGACGGATCGAGACGCTGCTCGAGCCGATTAAACGTCCCGCTCCGTGATTGCCAATTCCCGATGGAACATCGATCCCCGCGTAACGGCAAACTCGATCCGTTAACTTCCATCCAACGGATGGAAGAAACGTGGGTGACTGTCGAAGACGGTTAAAAAGATCCCTGGGAATATCCACTTAATTATTAAAACAATCTCTCGTTTTCGAATGGTATCCATCGATGACGTTGCTGGAATTCATTTGGAAAATCGTGTCTCCCCCGCTGGAAACGAGAAAAACTTGTCGATCCGAATGGTTTTTATCCATACTACTCTTTCTTCGTATCCTTCGTATCCCCGATCGATTATTATTCGTTCACGTTTTCCTTTCGACGAGGAGGAAACGAGGGAGAATTGCAAAGAATTGCGGTTTTTATATTAAGGGATCTTAACGATTTTTTCTTTTATTTTTTTACGTCTCATTTTTAACGTTAAATTCATTTTTAATTATACAGAACGAGCGTGTCGTTCCACGAAAGAGACGGTAATTATACGGATGAAACGCGTATTAGGGTTTAATGGCGAGGAAGCAGATGCTCGTTCAATTCGTCGGACGATCCTCCCCTCCCTCGATCCGATTATTCCCTACGGTTACGTAGGAAAGGAAGAATTTTTAAAAGAATTTTTTTTCAACGAAAAATCCTTCTCTCTCTCTTCTTCTTTTTTTTCCAGGCAAATCGACAGGGTTGGTTACGACGACGAGGGTGACGCACGCGACACCGGCGGCCCTTTACGCCCACGCAGCCAGCCGTTACTGGGAGGACGACGGCAAAGTGCCACCTGCTGCACGAACATCGTGCAAGGACATCGCGCGTCAGCTGCTCGAGGATGAGCCAGGCCGTAACATCAACGTACGGGGATTACGTATTTCGACTCGAAACCCTCGAAACTTTTCCCAACTCTTATCCCCGTTAATCCATCGGCCTCTCTCCCCCCTCCCTCTTCTACGTCGTTTTTTATCGCCGTTCGTGGATACGTGCAAAGATTTCCTCGAGGAATCGTCGCGATTCCTGGTGTAACTCGGAAGGGATCGAACGAATTCGAAGAAAACCTTTCCCCGGAAATTTCGAACGATCGCGCTCTTTCCCTTTAAGCTTTCGATACGACGAAGAGGGTGAATGTGGGACGTGAAATCGTTTCCAATTTGTACACCATCCGAAGCTCCAGCTTCTTCTTCTTCTTCTTCTTTTCTTTTTTCTTTTTTTTTTCTTTTTCTTTTAAGGAGAAAATGGATCAAGGTATATAATGGAAGAAGGATATGATTTTGATTTTCGGTTCGGAAAAGCAGCGCAGTTCTGTGCAAGTTTGATGATATAAATTATGATTTAATCATAATTCAATAATCAGCGAACCGTAAACCGTCCGATATTGAAAGTTGGCCAAACATGTACTTGCCATGAATAATTCAACGTGCGCGCTTAATAAGGTATTTAATATATCCTTGCATCCGAGGTAAAAGTGTCTCTTTATTTAGAAAAATATAATCGGATTCAACT